TGGAAAACATTTGAGAATGTCACCATAGTCTTTCCATTTGTTTTGCAGCTGTTGCTTCATCTTTCCTCTTCCTTAAAACCCCGCTACAACATATTGGCTTCTTGCTAAGCCTCAAAATTATATACGAAAGGTCATGAGGACCAGACCTGCTGCCAACTGTGCTGGTGTAGCAATATGAATTTCAGATGAAATGCAGAGGCAACAAGGTCTACTGTTTACGCATGTTTATTTGCACATATCACAAATCCACCAGTGTTTATTTCAGTTGTATTACATATAGCAAAGTGTGCACTTAATCAGCTGAAGGAATGGTCTATAGTCCATTAAGGCTTGCATTTCAAAAAGTGTATTTACCTTTAGTGCCACAGTCCAAGGCTTGGAAAATTTACTTTTTTAGAGTGTCTCGGCTGTTTCAAGGATTCAGGAACTTGTAATCCAAAGCAGTAACCTTTCCAAATTTTGAAGCAGAGTAATATGGCTTCCCTTTTCACAATGAACTAAAATAATGTTCATACTTTTGTAGTTTGAGCATTACCTAGTTCAAGTTCCACACAATATACTAAAATTTGAGATTGTCTTCTAACTTATCCCTCTCTCACATATTTCCCCAGGAATAATCGGTGCAAGATGGTGGGGATGTAGCAAGTGGCATCAATGCCAAAAGATGAATATTACTCCCTTGTTGCTTGCCTTCAAGTCAACTGTGACTTATGCTGACCCTATGTTAGGGTTTTCTTGGGAAGGTTTATTTTAAGTTTACCATTTCCTTCCTCTAAGGGTGAAAGTGTGTGACTTGTCTAAGGTCAGTGGATTTCCATGACAAAGCAAGGATTTGAACCCTAGTTTCCTGAAGACCTTGACCAAAACTCAAACCATGCGCAATGCTGGCTGACATTACATGCTAGCTTTTTCTGAATATGCTCTATTTTAAGTATTTATTTTCTTACTCTACACTCAGGATGCATCTCTTGATATATATGAATGGGTGCAAATGTTATATACAGTAGAGTCTCGCTTATCCAACCTTTGCGCATCCAACATTCTGTATTATCCAATGCAGTCTGCCTCCCACCCTGAATAATGTCTAGGGTGGGAGAAAGAAAGAATCCTTGTCTCTTTTGGTGCTAAATTAATAAATACAGTAATTACTACATAATGTTACCATGTATTGAACTGCTTTTTCTGTTGATTTGTTGTAAAACCTGATGTTTTGGTGCATAATTTGTAAAATCATAATGTAATTTGATGTTTAATAGGCTTTTCCTTAATCACTCCTTGTTATCCAACATTTTTGCTTATCTAAAGCTCTGCCGGTCTGATTATGTTGTATAAGCAAGACTCTGCTGTATTTACCAGACTCAAAAAGACCCTCAATAAAAATCCTAAACTACAGATTTCTGAGGAAGATATCTGATTTTTCTGTCTCTGGTTGGAACTCTGAGCTGAAAAGTTGCTTTTCAGATAAAGAGTCTATTAGAAGGTCTCAACATATTCAGCTACAGCAGGAGAAAGTATTGGGTTAAGAGAAATCTCAAATCCTGTACACCATTTGGCTAGTTAAATCTTATTAATTCCAACTGATTTTAATAGCATTACCACATTTGGGGTTGCAGTGTTACTGTTAACCAATATAGGATTCATGTCCTTTTCTTATTAGTTTCATGTCCTGCTTTATTCTGTCCTTTCTCATTTATTCTATTGCATGCCTGTAACAGCCTTGCGAAGTTAGACTGATAAAAAGACTCATGGGTTCAAGGTCACCCTGTGACTCTTAAGACTGAGGGGAGATGTGAACCTGGTTTCTCCAAATCCTAATCCAATACTTAAATCCACTGAAAGTACTCTAAGCTCTTTGTCACACTAGAGAATGAATCCACTTTAAATCTGGTTGCTGATTTCTGGGGTTTGCAGAATTCTGAGGTTTGTAGTTTAGGGAGGAGCCTTTAACAGCCTCACTAAACTAAAAACCCCAGAATTCTGCCAGAGGTACAAACCAGATTTAAAGTGGATTCATTCTCTAGTGCAATGAGGTTATAAGTAAGGAAGATGAAACTTCCCAAATTGGGAAACATCTTGGATCACACCTATCACACTAGAGAATGAATCTACTTTAAATCCGGTTTCTGCCTCCTACATTATTCTGGGGTTTGTAGTTTACTGAGAGTGTTAAAAGCTCCTCCCTAAACTACAAACCCCAGAATTCTGCAGGAGGCAGCAACCAAGTGGATTTATTCTCTAGTGTGATGAAGTAGCTATCTAGTCAGGAAAGTTATTTTGAGCATTCTGAAAACAGGGCATATCCTACCAGTTGTCCTTTTACTATCAATTTTCAGGTCAAATTTAGAGGTGAGAATTTGGCTGCATCTGTAATAACTGAGAAACATTGCTCCGGACAATATGTCTGTCACTTATGTTGTTAAGTGGTACTTTGGACTTGCTGATGAGAAATATGAGAGGATTCACATGATGTGGCCATGAGCACACAAGTGCTCTATCTTTCACATGCAGATAAATCTGTGGCAGGGTTTCAAGGAGCTGGCCTTGTGGCTAATGGTTCTGTCTTTCTTTGGGGGATCTTGCTGTGAAACAACTGCCTTAGCAAGAAAGAGAATGCCTCCTCCAACACTGCATAAACAAAGCATAAATCTCCACTTTAAAAGTTTGAAAACCCACTGATACACTTCCATCTCTCTTTCAGAGAAACAAGGATATGAAGCAAAGTACGCATATCAGAGGAAGATGCAAATGATAAACATGTACCAGACCAGAAAGAATATGTTAATATATGAGTAGAACCTGAAAAGGTTACATTTCTGGTCTACAACTCCCAGAATCTCTCAATATTATCCATACTAACTGGGAGACGCTGCGAGTTTTCATCCAAAAATTAACTGTCTCAAGCTCTGTGCATGGCCCAAGGGATTTTCAAGTAGCTTTAGAGCAGGCATGGGCAAACTTTGAACCTTCAGGTATTTTGGACTTCAACTCCCACAATTCCTAACAGCCTCGGGCCCTTTCCTTTTCCCCCTCAGCCACTAAAAGTAAGGGCCTGAGGCTGTTAGGAATTGTGAGAGTTGAAGTCCAAAACACCTGGAGGGACAAGGTTTGCCCATGCCTGCTTTAGAGGCCTTCATACTTTTATATCTAGATGCCATCAATGGAGGGAGTTCCACATACCAAAGGAGGGGAATAAATAAAGCTTAAGAGTTCACAAAATTTCGACTGAGAGTGGAAGAGACCAAGGCTTCAAACACACATTCACACATACATGAAAACCACAGGCATGCAAGCAATAAATGCCAAAGCCTGGTTATAGAAAACTACTATGTGGTTCCACACAACCACAGCAGGATTATATTTCCCGGGAGTTTGTGAGAGGGAGAAAGCAACTGGTGGGAGCGTAGAAAGTTTAAGATTTCTCAAGAAAAGGAGGGGTGGGACAGGGGGATTTCTCCTCAGTGGGAGAAATAATAAATCAAAAAGGCATAGGTGTTTGAGTCTGTTGCATCATTATAACCAGCAAAAGAACACAAAAACCAAACAAACTCCACATGTCAAGGGATAGTCAACTGTTTGTTCCTTTAAAACAGCGTTTCTCAACCTGGAGGTCAGGACCCCTGGGGGGTTGCGAGGGGGGGGGGGGTGTCAGAGGGGTCACCAAAGACCATCAGAAAACACTGGATTTTCTGTTGGTCATGGGGGTTCTGTGTGGGAAGTTTGGCCCATTTTATCATTGGTGGGGTTCAGAATGCTCTTTGATTGTAGGTGAACTATAAATCCCAGCAACCACAACTCCCAAATGTCAAGATCTATTTTCCCCAAACTTCACTGGTGTTCACATTTGGGCATATTGAGTATTTGTGCCAAGTTTGGTCCAGATTCATCGTTGTTTGAGTCCACAGTAGTTTCTGGATGTAGATGAACTACAACTCCAAACTCAAGGTCAATGCCCACCAGACCCTGCCAGTATTTTCTGTTGGTCATGGGAGCTCTGTGTGCCAAGTTCAATTGATGGAATTGGTTCAATTCCATTATTGGTGGAGTTCAGAATGCTTTTTGATTGTAGGTTAACTATAAATTCCAGATACAACAACTCAAAAATGACAAAATCAATTCCCCCCCCCCCAACTCCACCAGTATTCAAATGTGGGTGTATTGAGTATTTGTGACAAATTTGGTCCAGAGAATATATCCTGCATATCTGATATATACATTATGATTTATAACAGTAGCAAAATTACAGTTGTGAAGTAGCAAAGAAAATAATTATATGGCTGGGGGTCACCACAGCATAAGGAACTGTATGAAGGGGTCGCAGCACTAGGAAGGTTGAGAAACACTGCTTTAAAAAGCCCTCTTGGGGGGCTTTTGTTTGCCCCTGAAGTGATCACGCTAGGATAGAAAGGGAAGGATGCAATGCTGTTGCTGCCTGTGGCCACCCCATCAGCAACAGGCACAGCCCCTTTTGCATTTCCCAAAAGTTCCTGGGAGGGTGAAAGCAACTGGTGGGGGTGTAGAAACTTTAAAATTCCTGAAGGAAGCGGGGCAGGAGGGAAAGAGAGACATATCATGACTTCCAAAGGCATAGTGGTTTGGATATGTTCAATCACCAAGGCATCAATAACAACAACAACAACAACAATACTGTCGAAGGCTTTCATGGCCGGAGTCACTGGGTTGTTGTAGGTTTTTTCGGGCTATGTGGCCATGGTCTAGAGGCATTCTATCCTGACGTTTCACCTGCATCTATGGCAAGCATCCTCAGAGGTAGTGAGGTGCATGCATAGATGCAGGCGAAACGTCAGGAGAGAATGCCTCTAGACTATGGCCATATAGCCCGAAAAACCTACAACAACCCAACAATAATACTGCCAACATTACTTGTCCCCAACATTACTTGTCCCCTAATGCTCAGGGAGAAGGAAAGACTAGCCATTCAAGATGTGTTTGAGAGGGGCTTCTTTAAAGATAGCTGCAAAGAGAAGGCGGAGGAAACTTACAGAGAAGGCAGAAGAAACTTCAGGGCGGTGGAGGATGAGGAGCGAGTGGGGAGGCGGCTTCTTCGGGCCCGGGCGACCTTCTTCCCTTTCGGTGGGGCTGGGCAGTGGCACCTGGGCCAGGAGATGGCCCTCCTTTGGCTTGGCTGGGCCACTTCCCGCGTGGGGCGCTCGCTGGTCCTACCAAGACCAAGGCACCAAAGGCAGGCAGTTGGCTTCCGCGCCGTGGACGAGAGAGAGAGAAGCGGTGCGCGAAGGCTCGGACCCGCCCGTTCCCCTCCTCGGCATTTTATAGGACCGCGCGGGCTGTTTCCCTTGGCGTGCCTTCCACCCGCCCCACTCCCTCCTGGAGAGGAGACCCCCTTCTGGACGTGGCCTCCCTTTCCCCGCCCCGCTCCCCCTCCCGAGTCATGAGCCGGCCTCCTCCATCTCTTCATCCCTCCTTCCCTCTTTCCCTCCTTCCTTCCTTTCGCTCCCCTCCCCATCGCCAAGTTCCTCGCAAGGAAATTGCGGCTTCCTTTCCCAGGTCACCCAGGATGTGCTCCCCCCCCCCCCCCAGGGGGCTGCCCACCTCTCTCTTGACTCACTCTAACTTCTGCGCTTGCTTCTCACCAATGAGAGGCGTGTGCCCGTGTAAACTCGGCTGGGATGGAGAGCGAGCCCTGCTTTTGAGAAGCCGAGGCAGTTCCTCCTTGGAGAAGTTTGTTGGAGGGCTGGAGGGAACACCCACTCCTCACTGAGCTCCTGGTGGGGCAGGGAAGGGAGAGGCGTGGCACTCACTTTCGGCCTCAGCAGAAAGGAGAAGAGTAGAGCTGGGCGCACATCTCCTTCAGTACAGTCCCAAAGGCATGTTGCTGGGCATCTCATAGGACAGTGGTTTATTTGTATTGTCCAAGGCTTTCAAGGCTGGAATCACTGGGTAGGTTTTTTGGGCGATGTGGCCATGTTCTAGAAGCATACCCTCCTGATGTTTCGCCTGCATCTATGGTAAGCATCCTCAGAGGTTATGAGGTAACCTCACAATCTCTGAGGATGCTTGCCATAGTTGCAGGTGAAACGTCAGGACAGAATGCTTCTAGAACATGGCCGTATCACCTGAAAAAAAACTATAACAACCCATTTGTAGCCCACCTTTCTCAGCCTTACAGCAACACAAGGTGGCTTACAGAATTGGCAGAATTTGATGCTATACATTCATAAAAATAAAAATACAGTTTAAGACATTCAACCTAATATTATAAAAAAACATATAAACCCATGAAATACATGAAATATCAAATTAAAGCACCCTGACAGATGGCCATCCATTCTTAATAACAACAACAACAACAACAACAACAAACCCCCTTCTGCCTTCATGCTGGGAATATCAAATTAAAATGCCCCTGACAGATGGCCATCCATTCTTAATAATAATAATAATAATAATAATAGCTTTATTTATTTATTTATTTATTTATTTGGTACACTTGTATACCGCTAATTTCTCAGCCTGGATCGGCGACTCAATTGCAGTTTACAGCAAATTAAAAACAATCTCCAATTTAAAACATATACACATACAATAACAAATTATTGGGCCACCAATAATAATCCCATATGTCTCGAGTTGAAATCACAGTCCAGAGATCGTTGTCCATATTTTCTGTCCATAGTCACCAAGAATCGATTACCACAGATTAGCCGAATGCTAGTTTGAACAGCCATGTTTAACAGCTTTAAACTGTTGGGCCAGGAAGAAGGATTCGTGTGAGTGCTGACTCCTCCATTCTGACTCCAGATTGTTTTTGGATGGACCACACATCTCATTCTTAATAATAATAATAATAATAATAATAATAATAATAATAATAATAATATCAGCCACAAACCCCCTTCTGCCTTCATGCTGGGAATATCAAATTAAAATGCCCCTGACAGATGGCCATCCATTCTTAATAATAATAATAATAATAATAGTTTTAACCCCTGCCCAGGAAGGCAGGAGGTTAGGCAGGCAACAGGCAGGTCTCTGTGAGTGCTGCACTGCTGTGTCCTCTTTGCCCAATGCAGGCCAGAGTGAGGGGTGAGGTGACCGGCAGGAGGAGAGAGGAAATTAATCCGCTGAAGCGGAGGCCAGGGACCTGGAAGTGGGGTAAATGCCGACCGCTTGCAACCAGGGAGAGGGTAGGGAAACGGTGAGTTTTTAAAACTTGCACCAGACATCCAAAATAATTACGAAAAATGGGGAAATTGTTTCAATTCTTATGTACTCCTCACACTATTCCTGCATGGCTCGATATTGGATCGTAAGCTAATTTAAATACGAATCAATAATGAATAACGAAAATAACGATCTGGATCGCCCAAGCCTAGTATGTGGTTTTCATGTCCTTTATGTTTTTTGTGGTTGTTGGAGGGACTGCAGATCAGATCTGGGACTTTCCTGAGCCCAGACTCCATTTTAGAAGGTCAGACTCCATGAGACTCTCAGGGTGTAAAGATGCTGCTGCTGATTTTCAGAAAAGTGCCCTGTGTTATCTGCACAGAGAAACCAATTTAAACCTATCTGTGATTGGATTGATAAGCAATGTACCTGTATGATGAATACATGAAGTTTGTAAGTAAACCAACTATGTTTAAAAAAAGAGGCTACTTATTTTGTCTCTTGAGAGCATTGATTTAAAACCAAATATATTTTATGGGAGAGTAGATTTTTGGAGGCAACTGAAATAACACTTCTGAAAGATCTGCTATATATATTGTGGATTGGCATAATCTTTGTTTCTAACAGTTGAAAGGGATTACCAGGTACAACAGTCTAGCAGTCAAAAAACCTAATTTGCCTTGCATGAATACTAGTGGATATATACCACTAAAGAGGAGATTTAGTCAAATGAGTTTTAGCTCTTCTTGGGAAGATCATACTTTACAAAAAGGTTATGATTTTCCAAATGGTAGTGAATGTCAATTAATCTCCAAAAAGTTCATGCTTCCAAAAGGCTTTGGGGATTCTGATTTCCCAAAAGGCTATGATCTCAAAGGTCATCCTTTTCTCAAAAGGTTATACCTTTTTCAAAAGTCACTGGTACCCAAACTGGTTCTCTGTCCCTGGTGAGTTTCCACAAAAGAAAAAAAAAACCTAGTTTTGCCAATTGGCATAAATATGATGTGGTCCCTGGCACACTGAAGAAAAATGATGGCTGCTCCCTGACACTAGATAATCCGAGAATTACTCATCTGGATCACATTGACAAGGATATATTGAGCCCTGTTTTTTAAAAGATTGATAAGCTTTAGGGAGTAGAGTAGGACTGTAACCTTACCAACCAGGGGAGACCAATGTAAGACTTTCCAGTTTGTGCAGCAAACTGACGATATATTATTTCAGTTTTCCTTATTTTTCTTCTATTTTAAACTTAACTTCAGATATTTCTGGAGGTGAAACCCTCACACAATTGAATGAATGAAAAGTAGAACTTTCTTATTAATACCCATTCTGCTTGCTACAAGACTAACAGATATTCATGACCAAGACTTATCCTGTCTTGCAACACACATTAATATAGTTGAATGTTTTCTTAAATGAAGTCCACACTTTCAACAGAGCTTCATCTTGTTTAATACGTAAAGTCATTAAACAATATTGTTTTAGAGAAAGTATTTTTGAACAACTTCTAGCTGATATAAATAATAAAAAAGATGGTGATGATGATTGCGATGATGGTGGCACAAACAACTGTGCTTTTAAGGTTCTTAAAAATTCACTAGATTAGTTCTGTTTTGATTTTGTTACCAGAGTAACATATGTTCTTCAGCAGATGCTCACATATATTCAGTGGGGAGTCCTCTGGCAGCATGTGTTGCACATCTGTTTGCTAAGTCAGAAATCCAAAGGCGCTTTAGAACTTTTTCCAAGGAGTATCATAAGTCGTTTTCTCCAGAAGTAAATACAATAGTTTTAGACACAAAAATATGGACACAGTACAAACCCCAAATTCATATGGGATATGTTCCAAGACCCACCCACCCTCCACGGGTAGCTAAAACCATGGATGACAATGAATCCATTTTTGACCATACTTGGACTGGAAGGATACCATAGAATTGCACTGGGGTACTTTAGAGAGGCCTGCACCCACTTCTGGGAGGAAAGGCGATATTCTTTGGAGCATGAGTAAATGAAAGTTGATATCAAAGGTCATACTGCATTTATACAACTACTTCACTTTCAATTTTGTGTTTCCTTAACTTAGAGATCAGCAACAGTAGATGTTTCTGGATTTTAGTTCTCTATGCATAGGTAGAACATACATATCATAGTATTCTGATAAACATTGCAAGTTCATTTTTTCTACACCAGATCTCTAGGGAGACAGACAGGAATAGACAGATAGCTCAGAAATCCTAAAATCCTCCTTCTCTATCTTCATATCATTGTGCTCATCTTCTCCTCAGGGAAGATGGGAAGACTGGAAAATCACCCCTCTGTACATCACCTAGCTTTCATCATTCTTATTTATGGAGACATAACATTGGAATATCTTGAACTACCAAAACCCCTCTGTCAAGTATTAATATTAATTAATAACCCACAATGGCAACCCTATTATATATTTTTTAGATTTTTAAAAACTACAGCTCATAGGATCCTCCAACCAATATATCCACAAATGTTACAAAAAGTAACTGTTGCAAGCTGCTTATGGAAATCAAAACAGACTTCCTATGTCTTTTGGGTTTTTTTTTTGTTTTCTGATTGCAAGCTTCTGTCTCTAACAACTCGAGATGACACTTTTGACACACTTATGTTCTTGAAAGCTGGACTATATGCAAGGTTTCTTTGCACAAGGCAAATTTCCTACAAGCAGTGATACAGACTAAATCAGGCATGGGCAAACTTTGGCCCTCCAGGCAGGCATGTAGCCGGGGGGGGCTCAGGGGGCTTCAGCCCCCCCCCCCGAAATTCTCATGGTGGTTCGTGAAAAGTTCTTACCGGTGCATTATTTAAACTGTTATGTTTATTCATATCATGATCTGATCACCATACTCAATATATCCCATATGCATGGGGGTATTGGGGTAATGATAAAAAAGGTTTGCTAGGCTAGACCCCTTTCACTCAGATTCAGCCACCCCGAAACTCCCCCGAACCCCCCCTGAAAAGATTCAGCCCCCCCCCCCCCGAAACGAAATCCTGGCTACGGGCCTGCCTCCAGGTGTTTTGGACTTCAACTCCCAGAAAGTCCAGCCAGTTT